CATTAAAGAAGGCATACAGATGGTCAAGAGACAGATGAAACAATGCTCAGTATCACTAATCAGGGAAAAAAGGCCCTCCCGTTGATCATCGATTTGCTCGAGCAGGCCCAGTAACGTCTCCATTGGAGACTTTGTTGTTACTGTGTTTGGCATATCGAATACTCTCGGTAGCTTGCCGGGCTCTCCGGGAGGGGCGGAGGAATCGAACTCAGGTCGGCCATGTTGGCTGCGTGCAAGGCAGACGCCCTACCTGCTGTGCTATCGCTCTATGAATCAGGGAAATGAAAATCAAAACAACACCGAGAAACAGTGAGATATCATCTCACACCAGTGAGACTGGCACACATAACAAAGAACAAAAACAACAGGTGCTGGCATGGATGTGGGGAAAGCAGCCCTCATTCACTACTCGTGGGAATGTCGACAGGCCCAGCCTTTTTGGAAAACAATATGGGCACGCCTCAAAAAACGCCAAGAACTGAGATTCCATCTGAAGCGACAGTTTCATTTCTTGGTATCTACCCCAACAGCAACATTTAAAAAAAAAATCAATTCAGAAAAGACATTTACACTCCTATGTTCATTGCAGCACTGTTCACAACAGCCCAAATTTGTAAACAACCCAAGTGCCCAAGAACAGTTGACTGGATAAAGAAGCTGTCCTCCCGTTGTTCATCGATTTGCTCGAGCAGGCCCAGTAGCATCTCCATTGGAGCCTTTGTTGTTACTGTATTTGGCATATCAAATACATCACGGGTAGCTTGCCAGGCTCTGCCGTGCGGGTGAGATACTCTCGGTAGCTTGCCAGGCTCTCGGAGAGGGGTAGAGGAATCGAACTTGGATCGGCCATGTTGGCTGCGTGCAAGGCAAACGTCCTACCGCTGTGCTATCGCTCTAGCCCAGATAAAGAAGCTATGATCCATATATACAATGGAATATTACTCAGCCATAAGAAAGGATGAACTCATGCAATTTGCTGCAAGATAGATGCATCTGGAGAGTGAAGTTTAGTCAGAAGAAGAGGCACAGACACAGAATGAGCTCTCTCATTTGTAGATGTACAAACATAATAGGGATCTAATAAATACACAAAGGCAACAGAAACTGAGAAATGGTCTTCAGAAGGAAGTCACTGCAGGGGCTGAAAAAGGAAATTGATGAGAAGGGGAGATATTAAAACAACGGTGGAGGGCAGTGGACGTTCTGGAGAATGGTGTGGTGAGAAACTGCATGAAACCTTCTCATTAATAGTATTGCCAACCATGGTGCCCCAAATAAAACAAATCATTTCTCCACAGAACTCTACTCTAACCATAACCATCCATTAGGGCTGATGGATGGATATGGTTTCTAAAAATCGTTCTGATTTTTAGAAAGCGCATGTCCTCTTTTCATTTCCAATGTCTCCCTCACGGAACGTATTTCTACAACCATTATAGAAGGAGAGAAACCTAAGAGAAAATAGGAAAACAACACCTGTATTTCTCTGGTACAGGGGTAGTCTGGAATACCAATTATTAAGAGATTTTACCAACTTAAAATGATCTACTTAAAATCATCAGAAAATCATTTACAGCCATTGCACAGAAGTACCAATTTACAGTTTAGTTGTGGAGCATGATAAGTTTATATTTAATATCTGAGGGTTCTAGAACTTCAGATTTCTAAATATTCTATGCGACAAGATGATTCCTCTACCTTCTTTAAAAGGCTCTTCAGTCAAAAGACATGTTCTTTTAAAAACATTACATCCTGGGGCTGGAGCGATAGCACAGCAGGTAGAGCGTTTGCCTTGCACAAGGCCGAGACAGGTTCGATTCCCAGCATCCCATATGGTCCCCCGAGCACTACCAGGAGTAACTCCTGAGTGCATGAGCCAGGAGTAACCCCTGTGCATCACCGGGTGTGACCCAAAAAGAGCAAACATCCAAGCAAAAATGCAGTGTTGCTAAATCACCAGGAGTGAAGGTCTCTGTCCCAAAGCACCTCCCGCGTCAAAGACATCAGTGCACATCCGTTGCCCTGTTGTGGAGATCCACATGCATCTTTTTTTCTACAAAAATATCACTTCGTTTTGAATGGCAGAAATTTACTGGCATCTGCCTGGTGCCCTCCAAGTGACCTTCTGAAGCACTGTCAAGATAAGAGCATCCTTGCCAAGAGCAGTTCCAATCAGCACTGTACACAACAGAAGTGCTGGTTTACACTGGAGACAAACGGGAAGTAAGAGTGGCTATCAAACTTACAGCTGGGCACATATGAAAATGTCTTATTGTTAAACTTTGCCCTACTAGGGGAAATCCATTTTCCAAAGTTTGCAGTTGGTTACAAAGTCAGTAAAAGGAGCATGTGGCTGGTTCTGAATAAACTCATTGTTCCTTTTTAAAAATGCAAAATGTACAGTCTAAGACTTAACACTTGATTGGTTAATTTTTACAATCCAGACACTTATATTTCGGGTTACTTCATAAATCAAACAAACAGAAATGAAAAGTACTTAGAATTATTCCATAGTTTTATTTTTTTAAGAAATTTTAAGTAATATTAACATGGCAATAATTGGCAAAGACTAAGTGAATTCACTGTAAGAACATACTAGAGAATCCAGGTAGCTTAGCAAAAGGTCCTTAGAATTAAAAATAATACTATATCGTTCTTCAAATATGAAAATTTGATCCAGTATACGCTTTATAAAAATGTACATAAAATTATATGCACTTAAACGACTTGAGAAATTCTATTTTAAATTTTAACATTTAAATTTTATTTAATTTTGGGGGTGACCCTAAAAAATCTGGAGAAATTTGCTGTGGTCACAAACTGAGATATAGTATTAAAGACAAAGTGAGGGCCAGGAAGGTAATACAGAGGTAGGATGTATTTGCAGGGCGCCTACCCAGATTCAATTCTGGTACCACACAGGGTGCCCTGAGCCCCGGCTGAGTGCAGATCTAGGACTAAGCCCTAAGAATAGTTAGGTATGGCCCCCTTTCAAAATAAAGAAATAAAGATGAAGTTGAGTGAAGCTTGGCAATGTTTTATACAGTGCTTTACAGTGAACACATCTGGACCCAGCAGCTACGTTCAGCTGTCATATAGCATCACCTCCAACGGACTGTTTTTAGTTGGAAGCTGGAAATGATGAAGGAAGGAGAAGAAAACAGTCACTTCTTCAGATTAGCATTTTAGAAAAGCAAATCCATAGTATGTTAAGTAAAAATGAATGATTTTATTATATAAAATTATGATTGGCAGAATACAGAAAAAGTATTTTACCTTTACAGCTTTATTTTAAGTATCAGGCAAACTTGCAACAATTGGAAGAATTCATTACAAACTACCAAAAGGTATTCATTTGGTGAAATAATTCAAGTTACAAAATGCTAATTAATGCACTTCATTATACATGAAGTGTAACACAAGAAAGTAGTGAACATAAGTTATAATTCCTTTAACAAATATTGACAAAAAGCTTAAGGAAAATATCATCAAGTTAAACAGAAAATCAAATAATTGTCCACTGCAATTATTATACTAAAATCAATAAACTGCAGCAAAATAATGATTCTAAAAAAATTAAGAATATCCCAATATTATATTTTCTACCAATAAAAAAGGAAAGTATTTGGAGGCCAATTGATGGCTATAAACCCAGGTGTGTCTCAGATTATTTGCACTAAGGCCTTCCTGGTATAATAAGCATATGAAAGAACTTCACTGTTACTAAATGGTGAGAAAACTTAAGTTTTAATTCATAATTAACACGCAGGAAAACAACTCCAGTCTCCATGAGACAACAAAAAAGTTTACATATTAAAATTGTCAACTGGATCTCTAACATAAGACTGAAATAATCTTCCAAGGAATATTTGATAGTTTAGCAAATCAGGGCAATGGTTTTCACTCCAATGAAAAGGCAAGTGGGTGGTTTCTGATACTGGAATCTTCACTGCCAAAAAAGAGATCCCTACCAGAAAATCTGCATTCGTATTTATGATCTCGGTTGTTAAAAAATTCATTCAGTTCTCAATTAAATTATAGAAAGTGATAAATGAATACGTCTGAATCATTTGCCAAATTATTATATGCCTTACTCATAAGCGCTATGAAGATATACACTCAATTCATGCTAGAGGAGAAAGAATTGAGACTTATTTTCACATTTCAGAATTCCTGAGTCTTATCAGAGAAAAAAAAAGTCCAGAAGATGAACAAACCTACTCTATCATAGGCCAAATTATACAAATTTGGGTATTAACATTACATTAACAGTTTTAAAGCTGAAGACTATAGGGACAAATATATATCGGTACTTCAGTGGAATTACAAACAAGATATTAAAGCTTGGTTTGTCCAAAAGGCGTTTTGATGAAACAAGGCCACCTGAGTGACATCTTCATGATGGTAAACACACCGTTATACAGAAACAGCATTCTTATTTCGAAGCCCAGTGATGAAAATGAAAAAGAAAGTCATCTATTTTCATACAGTGTTTTGGGAAGACTGCATTGGGACAGCCCTTTGATGGAAGATCTAAGGAGAGTAAAGCCAACTTAATGGGATTAGAACGAATGTTCTCATTGGGGCCAACACCCATTAAATAATTTCCTCTTGCTTTGTATAGGACAATACAGAATGAAAATGCAAAGGTGTCTTAAGAGCACTTCAGTTCTGCTCTGGAGGGCTTAAGCCAGTGAACAGGGATGAACGGCTGAGGCAAAGGGTGATATGCATGTGTGTAGAGCCAGGCAAGGTCACATCCATTTTCTAACTAGGAAGAACCAAAGAAAACAAAGTGGCTTCACTTGAAACAATGAAACAGGCAAGAAACACTGTCCATCCTTGCTGGAAAGGCTACCCAAAGCAAGAAACACCTAAGGATCCTAGACATTTAAATTTGCATACTTTAGTTCCTCTTTGTAAGTAGAAAAGACACATACAAGTAATCCATGGGTTTTATTAAGACACTAAGCCAAAAAAAAAAAAAAAAGGGCGGGGGGGGACATTGATTGAGGAGGGGAACGATTTTCTGTTCTTAAGTACCTGGAAAGAAAATTTTAAAACACTAAAGTGCAGATCTCTAGGCCATTACAGGCACAAAAATTATAAAGAGGTGCAGCCAAAATTGCGTTGACATTTACAGGTCCTTATCCAGTAGACAACTGTTCGCTTTAAAAAATATTGTGCAATTCAAAAACCAGTTCACTTCTTTCGTGCCGTCAGACAATCTGAAGTTGTCACTGCCCGCTAAGTGAGACGTCACGAGATCTTGGGACCGCACAGGAAGCGCTTGACGACCACCCATTTCGTTAGCATCATACGATGTTGATTCCGCCTCCAGAGAACGCGAGGGTCCTCTTGCTGGGGAATGAGGAGCCGCTGAGAGCTGGCTGGTTGCCTTGGACCAGAGAGGTTTTCAGTTCCATTTCGCAGGCTACGATGGCCGCATTGAGTTCCACTTGAGCTCGATGAACGACATAAAACATGAGGCCTATACTTATAATTATCTGTGAATAAAAATAAAACAATACGATTAACAGTATCTTACACAGCAAAAAAAATTTTAATAAATGCTTGGCTAAGAAATATTTCAAACTGAATGCTTCTTAAGAGTGATGCAAAAAGGGCTTTGCTTTTGTTTTTTATTTCGGAAAGGTTTACACATAATTATTCTTTCTTTCCTTGACTATTTCTTCTGGGAATGGAAGGTCAAAACCTTCAGGTACCCATTATGCAGTATTAGATAAATACAGGCAGACTTATATCCGCTTAGTTCACAGAAATGATGCTAATTTGATAAAGTACTAAAAAAGCTTCCTTCAAGAACTAATAAATGTCTACAACAGAGGTAGTGATGGCTTATACTTCATTAATACAATCAACATAGTGTTATATATTTGCATAATTATAAATGTTCATTTCTTTTTTGTTTTGTTTAGGGGTCACACTCAGTTCTGGGGCTTCCTTCGGGCTCTCGGCTCAGGGCTCACTCCTAGCAGGGCTGAGGAACCATGATGGTGTCAGAGATTGAACCTCGGTGGACCTTGTGCAAGGTAAATGCCCTGCCTGCTGTACTAAATCGCTCAGGCCCCTATAAATGTCCATTTCTTGGTCAAAGAGAGGGGTGCACTATCACTTGCAAAAGAACCAGTGGCAAGGCTCCAACATTAAATACAAAGAAGCACTTTTTAAAAAATGAAACTCAAGCTTCAGAAGAAATTATCCAGAGATTATGTGCATGAGATTGTCCGTACTTTGAGAAAAAGGAAAACATTTAGAGGAGGAAGAAAAAGACAAGCCCAGCCTCCAGTGGGCGCCATTCCGGGCTCAGCAACCCCCGGGAAACTGGCCTTGAGTCGCTTAGGCCTCCAAGAGCATGCCCGCCATCCCACAGGAAATCACTGTTCACAAGTTACCAGACCGGAGATTTGAATGTTTAAACTCTTTATATATAAAGAGTTACATTCTGTAACTCTTTTGAAATTGCATTTCTTGGAGTTCATTTGTAAAGCAATTCTTCAGCACTAGAAGCAAGCAATCTCGATAAAAGGGTCAGAGTGCATCCTGTTGGCTACAGTAACCTATCCTAAAGTATGCTTTTCCAACCGCGCCTACTCATCAGTGCATTAACCACCACCAGACACAGAGAAGAATTCCTAAGGTGGAAGTATTCTAAACCCAAGTGCCAAGGGCACGAAGGAGCCAGAGGTGGGGGAAATGTGGAACTTGTGCCAAGGGGCACTGTTAGAGAGTACCCATTACTTAATTCTAATTAAAGACTTTAATTCCTGCATCAGGGTTACAGACAGGGTTCAAAGGGCGAGAGTGCGTACTTTGCCTCTGGAAGTCCAGTGCTTATCCCTGGGTACTGTGTGGTCTCTGGAACACTGCCAGTCACACCCACACCCCTGCTGCGAAGTTGAGGGTTCATTCAAAAACAAAACGTAACAATCTGCCGCTCTGCTACCTCAGCTGTCTTCAAACAAGGAAACAATCCTAACTTATCACTGGAGAGGACTACCATGGAAAGAGACAAAAAGATTGCCAGCAAATTTGATGAAAAAACGATACGCATGAGATAGTTAATTCTGTTTAAGTGAGAAATTTGGACTGGATGTGGGTATGCAGGTCAGCCTAAAAGTACTTGTTTTGGAAGAGCCCGAGAGTTTAAGCCCCATACAGTTGAAAAAACAAGGAGAAAATACACATGCCACATCCAAAGCAGCTCCGTGAAGGGGCTTAAGACTGAGCTGTGGTTATGAACTAGGGGTGTCCTTACACAAGTCCTATCAAAGCACCAACGTAGGGATCGGATTTGTCAAGGAGAGAGTTTTCAGCATGACACCAGAGAGCCTGGATAAGAACCTTGGAAGAGCCTCAAGTTAGAGTTGAGAAGGGGCTGGAAGTGAGTCAGGCCAGTGGGGAGTGGAGTGCGTGCGTGCGTGCGTGCGTGCGTGCGTGCGTGCGTGCGTGCGTGCGTGTGTGTGTGTGTGTGTGTGTATGTAGGGTGCGGGTGCAGAATCACAAGAGTAGTTGTTAAAGAAGCAGGGAAGAAAGTATCTGAAGAGCAGCACGGCTCAGTCTCAGATTATTGAGAGGTCAGAGCAGGTAACTGGAACAGGAATCTGAGTTGGACCCAGCGCTCTGAATCTGTTTCCAGTGATGACCCTTCTTGTCTTGAGAACTTTTCACACAACACTGAGGTATAGAGAATAGGAGCTGGGATCAACAAGGTTAGTGATGACCTTAGAGAAGACGGGGAGAGGATATGGCAAAGATACCATCAGTAAATTTAGACTCAGTGGAAAACAGTTTCAAGTTCCCGAAGGATGAACTGGCTCCGTATTTCCAAGGGATTTTCCTCCAGCTTGTTTGGAGGTTCTAGCAAGCTACCGAGAGTATCTCGCCTGCACGACAGAGCCTGGCAAGCTCCCCGTGATGTATTCGATATGCCAAACACAGTAACAACAAAAGTCTCCAATGGAGACGTTACTGGGCCCGCTCGAGCAAATCGATGAACAACGGGAGGACAGTGACAGTGACAGTTTCCTCCAGCACCCAGCACACCTAGTAACTTGTTTCCTTCATTCAAACAAAAGCATCCAACGCAGGTAGAGTATAAACCTTCACACAGAAAGAGAGTGGGATCGCTCACTGTTAAGCTAAAAGCTTGCTGGCATCACGAGCAGAACGGAATCAGGTGACTTCTGAGTAAATGATGAGTTTCCACTGGAAGCTTCTGACTTTTCTACTAAGCAAGAAATGAGAGATCTTTTCATGAGAATGAAGAGCCAAGTAGCAGAAGGGTGAAAAATTTACGGTCAAGATAATTCAGAATCTTTCACTGAGGAGGTTGAGGGTGAGACAAAATGAACTGGATAACATGGGTCAGTGCTGGAAAGTCAGCTCAAGTTCGTAAGCATGAAAAGCACTGCCGGGGGCTGGAATGACAGCACAGTGGGTAGGGCCTTTGCCTTGCACGTGGCCGACCCGGATTGGATTCCCAGCATCCTATATGGTCCCGCATGCACCATAGAGGATCACTCAGGAGTGATTCCTGAGTACAGAGACAGGAAGAACCCAGGTGCATCACAGGATGTGACACAAAAAAGAAAAAAGCAAAAAAAAAGAAAAACAAAAAGGAAAGTAAGGCCAATCTGGCTCTTTGACTTCCCTAACAGAAGAAATGATACAAAGTACATCATCTAGAGCTGGGTTCTGGCTGAGGGGGGCTAGGAAAGAGGGGCCTGAGAGAGAGAGAGAGAGAGAGAGACAGACAGACAGAGAGAGAGACAGAGAGAGAGACAGAGAGACAGAGAGACAGAGACAGAGACAGAGAGAGACAGAGAGACAGAGAGAGACAGAGACAGAGACAGAGACAGAGACAGAGACAGAGAGAGAGAGCATGTGGCCAAGGTGGGTTTGTTCCCTGGCACCCTATAATGTCCCCCAGATTACCAGTAGGAGAGATCATCCCTGGGTGCCAGGAGTAAGTCTTGAACACTGCTGGGTGTGGCCCGAAAACAAAACAAATGAGTAAGTGAATTAAAGACATTTCCATGAATCTGGGTTAGGCTGAAGCCAAGAAACAGTCTACTTTTCCATGAACATCTTATTTAGCCTGCTTAATATTTTCTGACTGTGGATTCTCTTAGATGCCATAAAACTCGGGTAAATCCACCATTCTATCAGCTTTTTTCTAGCCAATAGGAAGAAGGCCACGGGCACTTGGCTGACCCTCATCTACCTTCATTCTTTCCTTCCTGCCTATTTTCCCCATCAAAGGGATTTCTCTGCCCTCTTTTCATTCTTCTGTGTGTTCTCTGTAAACTGAATCAAATCCTTTCTGAATCAAAATAAGCTATAAATAGCAATAAATCAAATCAAGGCCACTTGGTGTTGATGGATGATTTTTTTTTTCAGATTCTAGACCTAAGAAATAACTGCCTTTTGTAAACTGAGCTTAAATTTGCTTACTCAAAGAAAGAGTAAGAAATCAGAGGAAAAGAGAGAATTCTATATACTAAAAACCAAAACAAAAACTGACAAATGGATAAAAAATTTTATCCTATTATAATGCTATCAATTATAATTAAGAGCAATTTGCTAAGATATATACAATTATAATAAAGAACTGCAATTACATATATATAATCAAGACTGAAAAAGGTATTTCAAGGCTGAGGAGACAGCTCCTAGGAGGCGTTTACAAGCTTTAATTTACCCCTGTATCACATGTTATCCCCATTACAGAAGTAACGCCCAGCACCATGAAAGCAAGAAGCCCCCAAACACCACTGTGGGTGACCCACACAAGGGAAGTACTTCAAATGGTTCAGTGGTCTGTAGGAAAGCAGAAAAACAAATCATGCTTAAATATACTCAGTCTTCAGGGGTCGAAGAGATAGTACAGTAAGTAGATAATGGCACTTGCCTTGCACACAGCCGACCAGGGTTTGATCCCATGTGGTCCCCAACCCCTGTTCAGGGGGTTTCTGAGCACAGAGCCAGGAGCAAACTCTGAGCATCACCAGCTCTGACCCAAAAACAAAGCTACAGAAGCCAAACAAATAAACTAAAAGTCTGAGAACGTGGTGTTAAGACAGAATCTTATACCTCGTGAAGATCACAAATGTAAGTCATCACAGATAGAATGTATTTACAACTTAATGTCACATTAACATTTATAATGTGGCACACTAATAAAAATAACAAAATCTCCCAAATCTAGATTCACGTTATCTTTGGAAGAAAAAAGAAGAAAAATTCACAACAAAAAAAGACTAACTTTTTACCTGAATATCAATAGCCAAATAGATTATGACATCTTTTTCTTAAAACAAAGCCATTTTATTTATAATATTAATATTCCCAGACTTAATTTTTATTTTCACACAACTGCTTAAGCACAAAGAAAATGAACTCTGGCTCTATGTAACATATTAACCCCAAAACTTGACAACAATGCCACTAACAGCAAATCTGTAAAATGATACCATATTCTCAACACCACAAGTTAAAAATAACAAAGAAATGGATCAGAAAACACTCATTATTGTACTATGCATAGTAGTGGTCTACTGGTTGTGAGCATCGTTCAGATCCTGATACTGGGTCTTGCAGCTATGCTCTTAGGCCAAGTCCTCTCTAACAGTCTGCTGGTAAGGTAGTGCTCGGGGATCGGAGAGGAAATGCTTAATTTGGAGCCCCTGGCAGTGTCCATGGTGCAAATACTGCTGACACGAATAATTTTAAGCTTCTAATGTGATGCCACTGATTCCAGAGGTGAGAGACGCACACCCCAAGTTGGTTCAAATTAATAAGAGTACTTCCAGGAGTATTGGCAAGCATTAAACGAGTTTTAAAATATAATGTATAAAGCTTCCACCAAAGGGTTAGTCACGATCACCATTATCTCTTCAGAAACAATAATAGGGTTTGGTTGGGAAATGAATCAGTGCAAAAAATCCACCACTAGAATAGATGACATGCAACCTATAGTCTTTAAAAAAGTAAATATTGTAGTGTGATTAACTTATACCTTAATAAAGTCATTTAAATAATAATAATTAAAAAACACCAGTTTGCTGCACCCTTTCTCAAAGAGAATTTTCAGTTTGAAACAAATATGCTCCAAACACTCCATATACCTGAAAATGTAAAGACTGTTGAAATACGAAGTTGCACTGAGAGAACTAGAAAAGGCATAAAAACCCTCTGAGATTATTTGTCATCAAATCAGTCAGACTGAGACCAGCAATGCCCCACAGACTGGAAAAAGAGAGGAGCACCCGGGCCTTAGACTCACCTGTAAACAGAAAACGAAGTATCCGCTAAGAGTCTGCTCGGCAATGACGTCTTCCATGGTCCGCAGGGTGGTGCCCAGGTAAGAATTCAGGAGCTGGGTGGGAAGCAGGCCCACCGAGGACGCCATCAGGTAGTTGGGGAGGGAGAGATCAGTGATCTGGAAGCACAGATTCGAAGGAATGAAGGCCCCGTGGATCAAATGCCAGCCTCACTCACTGCAACCTGCATGGCCTTTGCTCATGATTTTTCTTGCAAGGGAATCCAGCGACTCATACACATTACATAGCTTTCTGACTCGCCTCAGGAATACAGGCAAGTTGTAGAAAGACTCAGAGTGAAACAAATATTAAAGGAAAGACTTAATTCTCTATTATGGTGCCACTGAAGGCACTTTAGACGGTCTTTTCTTCTTCCAGATAAGTGGAATGTGCACATATGACACTTAGCAAAATCTGCCGTGTGAGTCTCCCTCCTGGAGCTATTTCTCAGAGCCTACTGAAATGGCAGCGTGGTAATCACCCTGCAAATTACTTACCCTGAGAACGACAACCTAGTGCTAAGCGTTCAATGATACATTCTGCCTACAGTCGTTTCATCTGCAAAATAATCACCACGGGGCTGGAGCGATAGTACAGCAAGTAGGACATTTGCCTTACAGGTGGCCAACCTGGGTTCGATTCCCAGCACTCCATATGGTCCCCTGAGCACCACCAGGAGTAATTCCTGAGTGCACGAGCCAGGAGTAGACCCTGAGCATCACCGGGTGTGACCCAAAAAGCAAAAAAATAAAACAGCAAAAAAAAAAAATAATAATCACCACGACCATGCATGGTTGTTAGAATAAGAAGTATCTGAGCCGTACCTAGTAATCAACACTCACATGAAGGTGCCATCACAGTTGTGCAATCCTATTAGCACGGGATACCGTAGCAGAGTTTAACCCCTCTGCTGCTGTGGGTCATTTAAACCGCCTTCACATTTTGTTTCTTGTATGTGAAGATATCTTCCTTTGCTATTTAATTTGGGGGCGAATGCTATCTGTGTGGGAGGCTGTGACTTTGGGGACTGCCTGTACTTACTAGATGCTTATTTTCTAGTTAGGAAACAAACAGAAAAGGACCTCCATCTCTCCTGCGAGCAGGCAAACAGCCAGATCTTAAATAGTTCTCCGGAACAGTCCGTGTTGCAAAGAACCCATGTCTGCAGCCAACAGCGAAACTAGACAGCGGCCTGCCAATGGAAAGCTGAGTGCGCCTCACGGGGTGCCAGTGCTCCTTGGTGAACCCCAAGACATCTACAAGCCCGGCCCACACATCTGCGCGCATTATTTGAGGAGCTGAGTGACAGGGACCCGCTATATCGTAAGGACGCCCTGACCCGAAGCAACTAGGAGACAGGAAGGACTTCCTGCTTGGGTGAGGGGTCTGCGATGGCCGGCCCACCGCATGGGTCCAGGCTCACAGGTGTGAACAAGTTGATAAACAAAGGCTTAAGTCACTCGGCGTTGGGCTGACCCACTATACAGCAGTATAGTGATTGTGCAATGCCTCTCCCATTCTTTTAGGCTTCTGGGGTTATTTTGGTTTGGATGTTTTGGTTTGGGGGACACACTTGGCAGTGCTCGCTCAGGGCTTACTCCTGGCTCTGTGCTCAGGGATTAGTCCTAGTGGAGTTCGGGGGACCAAATGGGGTGTTGGGAACTAAATTCCCTAAGCCAGTTACATTCAAGGCAAGCAGATGCTGCCGGCACTATCTCTCAGACCCTCCATTAACTTACTGGCAGAACACTAGGAGTGGAATTACTGTCACAAACTAAAAACGAAGTAGCCCCAAACAGTTCACACTGGTTTACAATCCAATGGGCAAAGTTGACACGTCCCTCTTACTGTACCATTATCAGGCTTTAAGAATTAAATTTTCACCCTGTTAAGTTTAGAGAGCTCAAGGTCGTTAGGCTACACCATTTGTCTGTTTGCTTCTGGCCATACTCAGAGGTACTCAGGGCTGACTCCTAGGTCAGTGCTCAGGAACCACTCCTGGAGGTGCTGTATGATCTTTCTGGCCCACTACTTCAGACTATATTAATTCTGGTTTTAAATATCTGTTCTTTCAACCAAGCATGCGATTATTATCCCACACCCGAGAGAATGAGCACGTGAAAAAGAAGGGAAACGACCTAAGTTGACAAGGCAATGGAGGGGCTGGGATGCTCTCACCCAGGTGGGGTCAGTGGCGTGTCCAGTAGCCGCTACAGAAAACGGGAAAGGGACTCGGGAAGAAATAAAGACGCTGAAAGCCCGGGTGGGCAGAGCAGAAAAAACAAAGACCTGAGCCCATGCTTTCCACATGGGAAGTCTGGGTTCCACACCACATAGTTCCCCAGGCAGTCCCAGAGACAGCTCTCAGCCTCAGACACAGTCATTAAACAGAACAGATGACCCTTTGCCTTTGCAACTACCGGGACTGAGCCTGAGATGACGATGTCGCATGAAAGAAGCCCAAACAAACAGGATGGACAAGTGCAAGAAGACGGTTCCTCAAAAGAGGAATAAAAATAACCAAAGGGGATAAAAACAAGTCGCGACAAAAATAACTCTTAGACTGCAAATACTATGATGATTACAGAGGGGGTGGCGAGAGGATGGGGTGGGCATCTGACACAGAGTGGGGTGTGGGGCGGGGCCCCAGCAGAGAGACGGAAAGCTGCACCCACAAAATCCACACAGTATTTTAGACCAACGTGGCCCAGTGAAGCAGTGGCCCAGGGACACTTTCTATTTATACTTCTTCCGGCCTTATTTGTGCACATCTGCCCATTCTTGACCCACACCAGGCAAGAGCTCCACCCCTCTCCTTTACTCTTAAGTGATTTTTGGTTGGTTGGTTGGTTGGTTTTAGTTTCGGGGAGGGACACACCCAGCGATGCTCAGGGCTTACTCCTAGCTCTGCGCTCAGAAATTACTCCTGGCAATGCTCGGGGGACCATATGGGGTGCTGGGAACCAAACCTAGGTCAGCTGCGTGCAAGGCAAATGCCTCCCCACTGTCCTGTTGCTCCAGCCCGTATTTCTGGAGTTCTTTATGTGGTAAGGAAACCTGCTTTTTTCAAGTGGCAAACATTTTTTTTTTTAAGCATCCCTTATCTTTTATGCCTGGTAAATGTTTCTGTGACTTAATCACGTCTTCTCCGCATTGGTTTTGTTTTGTCGTCACATGTGGCTGTGCCCGGGGCTTCCTCTTGGCTCTGCACTCAGGGATCACTCCTGAGGAGGGTTGGGGACCATATACATGTTGGGGATCAAACCCAGGTTCGCCGTGGCAAGGCTACACGATCTCATTGGTGCCCTAACTCACTTTTTATGTGAGCCTCCTATTCTCCTAATAAACTTTTCACACTCCCATTAATGATAGTTATCATTGCCCCTCCCTCACCCCCTCCCCCCACCCCCCCCAGGGGTCAAGATCCAGGACCACCATGTAGTTTATATTGAAAAGTCTTTCAGTATAAAAGTTTCCCTACATGTTTGACAATCACAGAGAAAAATCCAATAGTTATGTAAAGAAGAGATTTCATATACCAGAAATAATGCTGGAGGATGAAGGAACAGTACAGTGGCTAGGGCGCTTGCCATGCAAGCAGCTGACCCGGGTTCAAATCCGGGATCCCTGAGCACGGGCTGCTCACTCCAATTCTTTGGTCAGGAAGGAAACGAACTGGTAGATCTTACCTCCTTTCCGATCTGGTATTTTAATCAACTACAGAATGTAACTGGAAGTTATTCTCATGGCTATCTAATAACCCCATAAACCCTATTTTCAGTCAGGTTACATTCACCTTGCCATAGTAAGATTGCAAATGCTACACTGATTCACTGTGAGCAATTCACGAAACTACCGATCCGATGGCAGTACCAAACGTGATGTTCCCGCAAGGGCCCGAGAGAGACAGGAAGACACCGTCGCCCTGAGATCAGTAACAACACATCTCAGGAGGACTGGCAGGACGGGGGGACTCGGGAAGGATTCTGTACAGAAGGAGGAAGGGAAAAGAGGTACTGGAAGGAGCTGGAGAAGGCGCCAGGAGGCAAACACACATTTGCAACAGACACTGACAGCTGCGAGGTCGACGGGCACAGATGAGACGGACCAGGGCGGTGCGGCAGGGACAGTCCTGGCAGGTCTGTGATATTGGCAACACAGTGGGGACATGTGCCTATAACTTTTTTAAAATCAAAGCTAGTGGGGCCAGAGAGAGTACAATGGGTCAAGTGCTTGCCTAACGTGGCTGACCCAGATTTGATCCCCAACAATCCATATGGCTCCCCCCAAACACTACCAGAAGTAAGACCTGAGCACTGCTGTGGGGTGGCCCCAAATCCCAAAAATCAAATCAAAACCAGGCAAGTACGCAAGGTGATACTGCTCAAGTGCTTTGCTAAACCAGGGACAAGTGTGCAAGGCCGTGGGGAATCTAGCCCAGGGACAATGTGAATAGAGCGACACTTGAGGAAGGTCCCCCTGTCAATCTGTTTTGTGTGGTTGTTGCTAGTTTTTGTTTTGTTCTGGCTGCTCTCACAGTCTGCGCCTGGCAGAGCTCAGGGAAGCCCAAGAAGATCAAACCTGGGCTGGTCACACGTACCTCACGCGTCCAGCCCAACGCACACTCTCTCCAGCCCTCCCACAGCAAGCCGCAGCAATAAAGAACTTCCTGGGGCTGGAGCGACAGCACAGCGGGCAGGGTGTTTGACTTACATGCGGCCGACCTGGGTTCGATTCCAAGCATCCCATATGGTCCCCTAAGCACCGCCAGGAGTGATTCCTGAGTGCAGAGCCAGGAGTAACCTCTGTGCATTGCCAGGTGTGACCCAAAAAGAAAAAGAAAGAAATAAAGACCTTTCTTCTGCATGAATGGATCAAATGTAGCAAATGAGTAGCACTGCACTGTCCTCTCGTTCATCCACTTGCTCCAGCGGGCCCAGTAACGCCTCTCCATGTTGAGATTTGTTGTTACTGTGTTTGGCATATCGAATACATCACTGGAAGCTTGCCAGGCTTTGCCGTGCTGGCGAGATAGTCTCAGTAGCTTGCCGGGCTCTCGGAGAGGGGCAGAGGAATCGAACCCAGGTCAGCCGGGCTGGCTGCGTGCAAGGCAAACGCC